GTTACCCTATGAATGGCTTCAGCTCCTCAGGCCAAAATGAGCCACGGGATAGGCAGAGATCAAAGGAATGGAGATTACCCAGCGCCTGTGAAGTAATTTACATCTTGGTGTCTTCAGGCACCATTATAATGCAGGAAACGGCCCCTTACAATTGCTCTTTTTAAGAAGACAAAGGTTTGTATAATTTTATGGATGTTAGTGAGAGAAATAGAAATTCATGTTAAAGGTATAAACAGTCTAGTAACCACTTTATTTTTGGGGATGTTTGAGACATGTTTTATAGAAGACCATTTGAAGTGTTGCCACTAAACCATACTTTAGTTGCCTGCTAAAACTACTTTGCTCATTTGGAAGGATTGGAAATAAACAAAGTACTATATTCAAGAAGCAGCCTTAACAGTTGTTTTCCTGACACCCCTGGCCACCCACAGCTTTGCATTAGTGCTCCTCCCATGGAATTACAGTCTTACTATTGGAAACTTGGCAGGTCTCAAAATTAGCTAAAACACCTAAGCTGTCACAGAATAATTTGAGGTGCTTTACTTGTCCTGAACATAAAGTTAGTCTACTTCTATTAACAGCATAAATACTATTTATACTTTTTGATTCATTGTATTGACAATAAAAGTAGCCTTTTAGGTTTTTTTTTTTTTTATCACCCAGATAGCTCATCATATCTTGAACCTCATAGTTTAGTCCAGAATAGCTTCCAGCCCATTATCTTCCTCCCACCTCAGCCATCTGAAAGCTAGGCTTACACAGCAAACATTTTACTATATTAAGTTTGCATTTGGTATACAACAGACAATTTTATATATAAAACTGCAGTTTTTAGAAAAAAGGAAAATCATGAATTATAAGGTAAAAATCATGGAATTTAAATTTCTTATGGGGGGGGGTTTCTTTCTCTGTTCTTGTAGGAAGCCTCCTGGAGAGCAAATGCTATTTGATCACTGTGACGCCGGTGTTTACCAGTGGGCCCGGGAGCTCTGAGTCGGTAAAGGCCTACCTCAAACAAGCCGGTGAGTACACCCTTACTTGCTTTGAAAAATGCTTTTAACATTGATCACTTTTAAATAAGAATCCTTATTATGTTCAAATAATTTTATCAATAGACTCTTTACTAATGTGTGTTATTTCCTAAATTGTAATGCTTTTCAGTTATCAGATGCATTTACTATCTTACAGCACCTTCTAGAGGACCTACTGTTCGGACAAAGAAAGTGGGGAAGAATGAAGCTGTCTTAGAATGGGACCAACTTCCTGTTGATGACCAGAATGGATTTATTAGAAACTACTCTATATCTTACAGAACCAGTATTGGAAATGAAATTGGTAATAAAATTGTAGCAATTATTAAGAATATGTTACTAAAACTTTTTCTTAAGCTTTTAAATACTAGTTTCTCATATAATGTGTCTTACAGTATATAGCATCCATAGCAGACATTTGCAGATGTCTCTTACAGTTGTGTTTATGACTCTGTTTTTTGAAATACTGTATTATGGGCTGATAGTATGGCTCAGCAGGTAAAGGCACTTGCCACCAAGCCTAATGACCTCAGTCCAACCCCCAGGCCTTACATGGTGGAGAGTGAGGGGAGCAAATTGAGAATCATTGATTCTTAGAAGTTCTCTGACCTTCACACGAATACATCATCTCTCTCTCTCTCTCTCTCTCTCTCTCTCTCTCTCTCTCTCTTCCTCTCTCTCTCCCTCTCTCCCTCACTCACTCCTTCCCCCTCCAGTAAATAACTTTAAGTGATTTTGCAACTTTAAGTTTTAAATATATATTGTTTTGTCCTTAAAGTGTTTTTAGTTACAAATGTTTGCTGGTCAAGTATTTTTATTCCTTTTGAATACTTCACAATGCCAAATATATGACAGATAAATCAAAAACATTGGATAAAAGAAACATCATTTTTCCTTCCAGTTGTGAATGTGGATTCTTCCCACACAGAATATACACTGTCCCCTTTGAGTAGTGATACACTGTACATGGTACGAATGGCAGCGTACACAGATGAAGGTGGAAAGGATGGTCCAGAGTTCACGTTTACAACACCAAAGTTTGGTAAGAAGTCATGATCTTTCATCTATTTCAAGTTTAATTAGACTAGAAATGGATTTGCTATGCTAAAATATTGTCTAAAAGTGCACCATTGGAGGATCAGGCGCAGTCCAGTGATAGAGTGCTTAACATCATCAAAGTCCTGGCAGTGTGTGTGGGAAGGGTAAGGGTCATAGAATGGAGTGTAGATATTAGGACGCTTATGCTTTTCATCTGGTTTAGGTTGCTGCTTTATAGAATTCCTCCCGCTTAACTGTGGTGGCGGAGCCACCTGTACTATGAATCCCAGGAGCTTACTGACCATTCTCTGTGGGTTCCCTTATTTATTCACAGGGTTGTTTGTGTCAACTCTCCATCTTTCCTATACTTGGTCCTTTCTGCTTACTGACAGATTGCTTGAGAAACTAGTCTGGCTCACTGACTGACCTGCTGAAGTCGGTTTCCAGCCCTACCACTCCTGGGGAGGCTGTCTGTGTCACTCATCAACGATCCAAGTCCTATCCAGTGCTGACTTTTAACTTCACCTTTTTTTCTAGTCTTCAGCATGGAATATGTTGGCCTTTCCATGCTTTAACTCCCTGGTGTCCCTGGTTCTTACAGCCATGTTTTTGTTTTCTTGCTTGCACTGCAGTTTTACAAGTTCCATATACTGCAGAGCTCTGTTATTGGTCCAATTTCCTTATGTGCCCATTTAGACTCCCTACATGGCTTCAGCTACCTTCTTCCTGCCACAACCATCCAACTATTTGTGAAAACCATTTTCCCCTCGAATAATCGAAGAAAGTTGGGTTGCTTTTGCTTTGTTCCCTGTTGGAATCTTGCCCCTTTTACCAGAGGTTCATTACTGTCTTAACCTCATCCTGTCTAAGTGAACTGTCCTTGTTTACATCCTTACCCTCTTGTTTGGCTGTTCTGTAGCTTTCCTGAAGACTTACAATGCATTCTTTTTTTCAATCATTATAGACTTTCTCTTATTTTATCGACCCCAAATGCCACCAGAGGAATGGTCTATAGTAATGTCCATTAGGTTGAAGGTAAAGATAATGTATGTGATGACACATTAATAAATCCATAATATTTAATACTTGAAACAAACACTGAAAAAAAATTAGTAAAACTTTAAAAGTATTTCCCTATTACGAGTTGGTTACAGGTTAGGATATCTTTATTTAAGTAATACCTGCCAAGCACAAGCCAGAGCGTGCCCAGAGGCAGCAGGCTAGGGAGGCTAGAGAGAGGGGCTCCCCACGTGTCTGCCGCCCCTTAAGAACTCCCCACACATCATCCTGAACCTCCCCTGACCACACCTGTAGCTAGCTTCTAGGAGGTGTGGCTACAGTGTCTCCCTACATTTCCCTAGTTGCAAAAGCCATATTCACTATAGGAAATTTTTACAATACATTATAAAAGGGAATAGGAATTTACTCAAATTCCATTCTCAAAAATAACCTAGCATTGTCTCTTCTCTATTTACATTTTTTAAATGGATCAGTAATACTAAAACTATAATTTGATGATGTTCTGGTGATAGTAACCTATCTGCAGTTTCTATTACAGCTTCCTCAAATGGCATGGGAGTCTTGCCCCAAAAGACTTTAGCTTAGTTGAAGAGATACCACCAAAAGTAATTAAAACAGAGCTGTTTGGACATTTTAACTCATAAACAATACAAGTCTAAAGCCATCAGCAGAGGGTGTTTCACCTTTAAAGAAGGTTCTTGGAGAAGACAAAGCTGTAGATTTGATGGGGAAAATAGAACAAAGAAGGCATCTTGAGAACAGCATGCACAGGGCCCAGGACAGGCAAACGAGAGACACAGAACTTGGCTTAGCAGCAGTTATGAGAGCAGCTATACCTAAGTTAAGTAGTCAGTCAATCTGCACATGAGATCCTTAGCACTCAAGCACTCACATTTGAGTGACTATGATAGTGTATGTCCAACAGTACTGGGGGAGGGGTGAGACAGGAGGATCACAAGTTAAAGTCATCCTGGGCTGCATATGGAGACAAAAAAGGCAGCCAATAGTTTATTCCCAGTGTTGGTCTGATTTTTTTTTTTTTTATACTGGACTTCATGGGATGTAGAGTTACTTATAAAGGGGATATGTGTGATAGGAAAATAAAACTAAACTGTATTTCTGAAGGGTTACTCTTTTGTTTGTTTTAGGAATATATATTTATTTAGGGATATATATATATAATTTTTTTCCTAGAAAAGATTAATGAAAAGGCTTTAGATCCATGATAGAGTACAAGCTTAGCATATGGCAGGTCAAGTTCAGTTCTCAGCACCAGGGAAAAGGGCAGGTGGAGATAACTGGAGGAGTTAACCAGGAACCTACCACAACATTTCTCCTTCAATGACTCATTTATTGAAGTCCTCTTTTAAAACATAGAGAGACTTGTGTGGTATCTAGGAATTTCAGATTTATTTGTGTCTTTAAATATTTTATTTGTTTTTGAGAGTGTCTCTAGTGATACAGCCAAGGCTCAAATCTGGCCTCAAACTCCCAATCCTCTGTGCCTCTATCTCCTGCATACTTGACACTATAGGCAAGCACCACTATGCCCACTCAGGGTTGCTGCTCTTTAGATGAATTGTCTACTTGTGCCACCCTCATGCTTCCTGAGCATCCCTCCTTAAATTCTTGGACCTATAGTAGATGTGTATTATGTTGATAATTATTACCCAGTAAGCTGAACTTGTTCTCCCAGCCAGTGTGTATTTTATGCTTACTATATAGCCAGGTTTGCAATGTAAGGACAAATGGCTGGGATTAACCATAGACAGAGAGGGGGAAGAAAAGCTACCAAAACCAACAGGGTGGGCTAAAGGAGTGTATACTTTGTTGATAATCTGCAGTACAGGCACTTGAAAGACAGGAGAGCCTGGGTCAGTCTGGGCCCATTGTGAGACACTGTCTTCATAAACAGAAATCAAGCAGTGTCCAATGAGGACATTATATTTTTTTCCTCTTTTTGTATGTGTTAACAGTTACTTCTCATTTACTCTTTGGTTTTTAGCTCAAGGAGAAATAGAAGCCATAGTGGTACCTGTGTGCTTAGCATTCCTCTTGACAACGCTTCTGGGAGTCTTGTTCTGCTTTAATAAACGAGATCTGTAAGTACCAGTTCTCACATTTACATAATAGTATTTAACTGTTTGACGTCTACAGTTGAATTGATTGTGCACAGATGCATCACCACCATGTATCCCCACTCCTACAAAGCTTCCTCGCTCATTCCTAGCCTGCCTTCTCAGCCACTGCCCCACACAGTTCCCAGTGGTAACTTTGCCTTAGTTAGAATTTCATGTGCATGCAACCAAGTGGCTTGCAGTCTTCTGTAAGTCTCACATATAGCTAATTGTGAGCCCGTTCATGCTGTTGTTTATGTTAATTTTTCTCCTCAGTGCTGCTGCTGCATCATGATTTGTAGTGTGCTATGTAAGAGAGTTTAGAGATCCCCAATGCTTGCCTATGGTTGTAATACTGCTGTGAATGTCCACATTCCAAACTCCATTTGGGTACATGTTTTCATGGATCTCAGATAACTAACTTTATAAAAAGCTGCTAGAACCAGGAATGTAACTCTGTGGTAGAGCATTCAGATGACATGTGCAAGGCTCCAGGTTCAATTCCAGGAAAGAATAAAGAAACAGCCCCAAGCTTTCTCAGTGCTTCCACCATCTTGCAAGTGTTATACCATCACTAGCATTTGGTACTGAGGTGTTCAGTTGGTTGTTCCTGAAAGTGTAGTGTGAGCGAAGTATTCACTGTGTTTCATATCCATTTTCCTGACTACCAGTGGCTCTTTTTATGAGTCATCTAGCTTGATTATGGTGTGTCTATTGAAGTCTTGTCCAATTTTAAGTTGGGTTGTTTTGCAAATACTGAGTTATAAATGTTCTTTTTGTTTGAGAACAAAAATTTTTGACAAATACATGTTTTGCAAATTTTGTCCCAGTTTGTGTATTTTGTTTAACTATGACTTTGGGAAAGCAGAAGTTTTTAATTTTGAAGTTCCTTTCCCAGGCTTTCTCCTCTGATTCTTGCATTTTATAACCTTTTTAAGAAAACTGTCTAGCCCAGTGTTATATGTTTTCTTCTAGACGTTCACTCGTTTTAGCTCTAGCATCTATAATCCATCTGGATTAATTTTGGGGCATGCTGTGGGTCAGAGTTAGGTCCCTTTCCCTCAATCTAGTTCTACTGATTTTGAAAATAGCTCTTTTTTTAAGTAAATGTGTTTGTTCCTATGCCAAAAATCAGTTGTTTCTGTAAGTTCATATTTACTTCTAGACTCTCATTTCTGTTCCCCCAAACTATGTTTATTCTTTTTTAATTTTTTATGTTTTGAGATTGGGTTTTATATAGCCCAGATCAGCCTTGAATGCCTGTTCTTGCTGATTGTGGCTTCTGAGTGTTGGGTTTATAACATGAATGTGCTACCACTGTCACTTTGTATGTCTGCTCCACAATGTCTTGTCTTTGGGAAAAAACAAGTTTACCATATTTTACTTAATGTCAGGAAACCATTTTATTTTCTGACTGGATACTTTTCATTGAAAGTTAATTGTCTTTGCATTTGTTTCTGATGGGACACATCACAACCTGTTAGGACCTAAAAAGTTCTTGATTGAGTTTATTAGAGGCTCTGATCAGAGATTTTTTTTTTAATTGAATGCTGATAATTAGCCTTGATAACCATTTTCCATTAGGAATACAGACAATCTGTATCTGTTTTTAGCAGTATCTTTTTTTGACTTTAGGATAACAGATTATTTTTGTTGGTTAACAGAAAAAAGCTTCTCATTGTTACATGTGATTTTATAAATGCCTTGCTTCTTTTCTCTTCAGAATTAAAAAACACATCTGGCCTAATGTTCCAGATCCTTCAAAGAGTCATATTGCTCAGTGGTCACCTCACACTCCCCCAAGGGTAAGAGATTATCTTCTTATTGTTTCTAGCATGCAGGCTTATTTATTAGGATATTTAGAGAGTTTAACCAAAAGATATTCATACCTGATGAAAATAAATTAGTTCTTAAATAGCAGTTGTCAAAATCATGAATAATCCCTACTCATTCTAGCACAGCATTTACTATAGCATGTTTGTGCCAGCATTCCTCACAGTGTTCAGTAAACACAACAAATACTTTGTTGAAAATGGAAACTGAGAACCTGTTACACAGGGATCTGGGACTGGATGTAAGTGCTGGCTAATGTCTGCCATCTTCACACTGAGCAGATGAGTTCTGGGAACTGTACTAGACATCACGCTTAACACACACCCTACAGGGTAGTCCTTCCTGTTATCCCCTAGTAATCCTTGAACTTAATTTTAACAAATTATACCTGTAAAATTTTATAGTTTATAAAACCGAAGTTATTCAAATTTGAATATTTAATGTTTCCGCAGTGTTTTTTTTTTTTCTTATTCTAGGCCTACTGTAAGTATGAAACACTCAGTACTATTTATAACCTACTTATAGCTTAAAACAATATTAATTTGGAAACTGGACATACAGACTGATTTGGACTTTTATCCAGTCTTGTTCGGTTTTTATCCAATTTATCTGCACTTGTTCAGTTGGTTACAGAGACTTGCCAAGAAGGATGATTCCGCCCCAGAAAGCCACTGAAAAGTTTCAAAGATGCACCAACTCTTAGAATAATAGAGGGCCTGGAGAGATGGCTCAGTGGGTAAAAAAGTTGGAATATGCTCAAAGTAATCATTTCATTTTTCTTCTTTTCAAGCACAATTTTAACTCCAAAGATCAAATGTATTCAGATGGCAATTTCACTGATGTGAGTGTTGTGGAAATAGAAGCAAACAACAAAAAGCCTTGTCCAGATGATCTGAAATCATTGGACCTATTCAAGAAGGAAAAAATAAGTACAGAAGGTCACAGCAGTGGCATTGGGGGATCTTCATGCATGTCATCTTCCAGGCCCAGCATCTCCAGCAATGAGGAGAATGAGTCTGCTCAGAACACCGCGAGCACTGTCCAGTACTCCACTGTGGTGCACAGTGGCTACAGGCACCAGGTCCCCTCAGTCCAAGTCTTCTCAAGGTCCGAGTCCACCCAGCCCCTGTTAGACTCCGAAGAGAGGCCAGAGGATCTGCAATTGGCAGATAATGTAGACAGCAGTGATGAGATTTTGCCCAGGCAACAGTATTTCAAACAGAACTGTAGTCAACCTGAAGCCAATCCAGATATTTCACATTTTGAAAGGTCAAACCAAGTTTCATCGGGCAGTGAGGAGGATTTTGTCAGACTGAAACAGCAGCAGGTTTCAGATCACATCTCACAGCCCTGTGGCTCTGAGCAGCAGAGACTGTTTGAGGAAGGTCCTGCCACAGGTGCTCTTGGCGCAGGCACTGATGGACAAGTAGAGCAGTTTGAATCAGTTGGAATGGAGACTGCGATGGATGAAGAAATTCCTAAAAGTTACTTGCCACAGACTGTAAGACAAGGTGGCTACATGCCGCAGTGAAATTCTGGCTCCTGCAAAGCTTTAGTGGGACCTATAAAGGAAAGCTAAAACACTCATCTGTGACTTAAGATGGAAAGTCATCTTTACTCCCTGAAGATAGTCATTGCCCTTAAGGACAAAGTCACAACTGGGCCATCTCCATTCCAGAGTGTCTGGGATCCTCCTTCAAGCACTACATGAACTGACTCTGTCCTCTAAATGGCTGAAGTACTCTGTGCTGTTTGGATGTTTGCACTGAAGAAAATGTGTGTCTGAGATTTACAAAGCTTTATAAAGCTTTTTGTTTTGCTGCACAGAAAAGGGAATTCAAATGAGCTGTGGCGTAGTACAGCTGTACTGATTTTAATAAGACCAGTCATCTAGATGCCAGGTGCAAAGTCCTAGCCCATTCTCAGCCAACAGCATCATTTAAAAGTGCTATAGGTCAGACTGTCCAGATTTTGTCATCTGGCAAAAGAAGTAGTGAGGGCAGGTTCATTTCTGGTTCTACCAGTTAGAGAATATTTGGCTTGCTCCCTGCTGTTTTTTATCAACATTGCTAGTTGTTACTTAAGAAAGGGATGAACTTGAAAAATGAGCAATGTAGACGTTCCCATTTTCTTAATATTACCCAAAACTTCATAGAAATCTGGTCATTATTGATAACCTCTGTGGGGGACCAAATGGGTCATGACAAACCTCTTTCAAATTCAGTTTCACCAACCCTGTAGAGAGCGCTGACGGGGCCAGCAGTGGACACTGGAAACTATGTCAAGCATTTAAAAATTGCTGTTTAAGCTGTGTTTTCTGAACACAAACACCAGGACAGATGATCCCAAAAGTTGGATGAGGAGGCACTTTATACAGTATGTCTTCAGCTTAAAATTGTTTTAATTGGCTCCATCTTGTTTTTATTTCCAAGAATAGTAAGGAGGTGTTTATTGAAGGGCAGCATTCGCCACAGCCACAAGCAGCACCCCAAACACACACTGATCTCAGTAACCGCCCATGGTGGAGGTCCATGTTGTACAGAGCTGAAGAAGCCGTAAGGGTTTTGTAAAGTTTGCTGAGTGGGGATTGAACCCATGGCCTTGTACATGCTAGACATTCACTCTACCACTGAGCTACCCACCCACACATCTCATTCTGTTGTTTAGGCTCAAGTGATCCTCCTGTCCCAGCTTCCTGAGGATCTGGGACTTTGGGTATGTGCTGTCACACCCAACAAAAGATGGTATTTTTGATATCTGCCATTTCTGAGGTAGAGTTTTACATGTGACTTAGGAATATTTAAACCTAGTCCTGGTTGCTTTGTTAAAGGAACAATCCAGGTATGCAGGGTTTAGCACTAAAGCCATTAATGTATTTGTGCCTAACTTCCCAGTGTGACATGGAGGCAGGGGCTGAAGTAGAAGTGGCTTCTCCGTTAGTGGCCGATTACCACTAAATGTGCTCACAGGAAAAGCTCTGAAGTGTCAGAGCATGGGCACACTTAAATACTTCCTAGAGTTACCAAACAAAAGGCTAAGAAGGGTCAGTACTCATTGGGGTGGATGCAGTTTTATATTACACTTGCTGAACATATCATTTATATTTTTATAACAGCTAATACTTTCTGAGTTCTTTCACATGTATATCCTTGTGAGACAGTAGACAGTTCTGTCCTCATATCCAGTTGTCCACTTTGCAAAACCAACCTGAAACTGGGAAAATGGCAGAATTGAATCAGGCTCAGAGGTTAGGTGCGGTCAAAGACCAGAATTCACACTACATGCAATGGCATCACCACCCTTGAGCTGGACATCAAAGCTTGGTCTGCTCAGGACTGAATTTTCTATGTAAGTCAAGAGATTAACACTTGCTAAAGTTTTTCATTTTCTCACAGAAGGTAGTCTAGTCATGTTACTGTATTCATGTTTAGCTGTAACTTTCCTCCTATCAAATAGTGGTGCTGTGAACTTTGTAGTGTGAAGTATACACTGGGGTAGGGGCAATTATCTAATGTGAGTTCATGAATGAGCATGAGAGATCATTGAAGGAAGAACCTCAATGAAGCAAGTTTGCATGTTGAATCCCAGTGAGCCAGTGCCCCCACCAACAGAGATGGTTGTGTGGCTACAACATGAAAACTCAGAGAGTATATAATGAATCAGTTTTGTCCTGAGAGAGAAAACCAGTCATAAATCTTGTCTTAAATATAGACTTTTCTACAGCATGTTTTAGAATAATCTAGATGCATGTGTTTTAGGTAGGCAAAGAAACTAATTCTGGCTTCTTTATGTAAAACCAGTGTAATAAAGCTAGTTGTGTAGTTACTCTTTAATTCTTTTGTGTATAAAAGTTTAGTTTAAGGCACATCAGAAAACAGCCTCTCTTGTGGCCAAAACTAATTCACTGCTTCTAATGTAGTTGCCTCGGGATTCAGAGAAAAAGGAAAGTCAACATAAGTTACACATCCCACCATCGTCTCATAAAGGTTTAATTCTGAATCACTTTTACAAAACTGTAGAATTTCAACCTTTTACTTACTCAAACAAAAAAATCTAATCCTTTTAAAAGTCGTGAGTCAGTATTCAGGAACACAAGCAACGAGAAGAGTGTAACCTCTCCTGGTTCTTTGTGTATTTGGTTCATTCAGTTTCTGCAGAGTTCCTTATCAGCTCATCCAGTAGACCGTCCTTCTGGTTCATTCAGTTTCTGCAGAGTTCCTTATCAGCTCATCCAGTAGACCGTAGTTCTTACAGTCAAGTTCAAGGTTAATGAAACAGAAGTGTTTATGGAAATACTGTTAAAGCTCATGTTTAAAGCAGTACAGCTCAAGTACCTTCAGATGTTAAATCCTATTTTTAAGGCTGTCTTTTTTTCTACCCACATAATTAGGAAAAGTGTCATAAATTTAGACCTAACAATCATGGGATTCCTCAGTGTGTGCTATAGACATATATTAATGAAGTAGAACAAGCCAGGAGACTGTTCTGTTATGTTCGTTCTTCTGTTCCATGTTACTGGATTTGTTTTAAAAGCAAGTTCTTAACCCATCTGTTTAGTATAAAGATTTTAGGGAGATGAGTAGGATCATTAAGCTGCAAAAAAAAATGTAAAGATCATTTATTAAAAGTAGCCTATTAGGCTAGCTTTCTATAGCTGGTATTACTGTTGGGTTATTTTGCCCAGGTAAAATTACTTTTTTGAAAATGTGCCTTCCTATAAATTAGAAAACACAGCCATAAAATGGCAAACTATTTAGGGCTAGCATAAAGTGGGGCACTGCAGACTTCAAAGATATAAACTAGCAGGCCCACACCTGCCCATTCTGGGGCCCGGGTACCATTTTCTTTCCAGGTTATTCATAAGCAATTCGTATGTCAAGACAAAATTTTCTCAAGCCAGATGCACTATCTCTTGGATTCATGTTTTGTTTTCCTGTCACACATAGATTAGCATCTGCTCACTGCATCAGAGATAAAAAGGAAACAGCTCCAGGTTGAGCGCTGAAGTGTTACTCATTTGTTCTTTACTTTTTTGGGGCTTTTTGCCACTTGTAAGCCCCACCAACTGGTTAGTTTCTTATTAACCAGCTGTGGATCTGGATGAAAATGCACTAGGTTCAGTAGAGACTTTTAGTCCTGTTTTCACCATCGTGGTCAGGTAAATAAAGGCTACAAATGCTGCTCATGAATAGTGAAATGTGATGTGTCAGAAACAGGGATGTTACAGAGGTGAGTATTTGAAAACTAGCCTTAATGTTTGTGTGTAATATACTCCAAAAGCAAGTGCACTTTGCTAGCCCAGTGCAGCAGTAGGCATTAAGTATGTCTCCTTTCTTTGTCTTTGTGCTTAGCTGAACTTCATGTGAGCACAGTTCTTTCAAGTTTGCCCACTGTTTTAGCACCCCACCACCACCACACCACCTATGTAGCTCCATTTGGAAAGCTTGTGCGTGTATTACCTCTGTAGTGAGTTGCATGTGCTAAGTATAACCAAAGCTATCATTTTTATATTGACTTTACCATCAATGTCTTACTTTATCAGCTCTAATCCTTTAAGTAAATTTAAGAAAGAAATTGTTGTCTTTTCTGTGTGTGGTCACCACTGTCTGACTGCCATGCATGATTTGGTATTTATCAGTACTGGTGTTAGTTAAAACGGGTCTTGGTAGATGTTTGATGAGAGGTCTACGACTTTTTAAATGCTATTTTGGCATAATGGAATGGGAGTTAAACTGATACACCACATTGACCTCAGTAACAGAAGACATGACAGTCAGTTACAGATTTACTATAAATTCTGAAATTCTAGCATCTTCCCTCTCAGTGGATGATCCCCTATGAATTTACTCAGGGACCAAATATAGACATGCTGCGCCACCTTGTGACTCATCTGTGCTGATGCAGTCTCCACATTTGCCTCTTACATGAAGCTAAGTCAGCAAGTATAAGCAAAGGTCCCAACTACTTGGGTCAAAACCTACAAATTAGCCAAGAAGTAAACTTCACTCCAAATATGTATTGAAATTTATACAAAAACCCACATTTAATACAGGTCCTAGAGGAACTGCCTGCCTTCTCTGGGTAAAAATCCTTCGTGCTTTCAGAAGGACCATTGTTTCCCTAGAGGGAAATCCTTATCTTACTGAGAGTTGCTTACCTTCCTGTTGGTTTTTATTTTTCTTATAGGAATATATGAAAATCCTTCCACAAACTATGTGTGCTCTTCCATACAGAGGGCTTAGTACAGGTGTAGGCTTTTGGTTGGGCTTTCTATCACCACAGGAGAGTGGGAGGTATTTTAGGTTCTCCAAGTTATTGACTCTGAAAAGGACATTCTAGCATTTAAGGGGAAGATCGACAAAGGAGATAAAGTTGGAAATTGGGAACCATTTGGGAACGTTTCTTTGATTTGGACAAAGTCAAGTGGCTGAGAGCAACAGAAAAATGGAACTACAAAGACATCAAGCAGTATAACTGACAGACCACAACTTGTGGGAAAAGGAAAGGCAACCAACTGGGGACGGGGCAAAAGAGTTGAGCCCCATTTCTGAGACCGTGAACACATCTAAACAGCTCTCCCACTGTCAAGTAAGGAGCCCCTATCTCTGGGTCCAGTAAACCCAGTATCCTTCTCCCCAGAGCAGTACCGAGGCCCGACAAGGCTGTCTATAAGAGCTCAAGAGCCAATGGCAAAGACCATAATATGTGCCCTGGTCAGGGTGTCTTCACTCAACCTCTGATGGCAAGGGGCTGAAAAATAGCCTGCTTCCTTTCAGGGAAATTGCAATTACACACACACACACACACACACCCCAAGAGGGGGCAGGAAAATGTGTTCCCAGCAACAACTAGTCCACACCTTCATGAGTTCAACCCCTTCCAGTCAGAGATCCATCCTGAAGCTAAAAACAATACAAAGCCATGCTTAGAGTTGGTGCTTTGGAGAACTTGGTGCAGCCTCTTAGACTCTCTTCCTTGAGGTGACAACAAAAACATCCATTGTTCACAGAGCACCTGCTGCATCCCGAACCCAGCACAGTACTGTCAACACTTGGTTTAACCTCCTAGTCAAAGAGTTATTACACCGTTTCTCCACTTTACAGATTAAAGCAACAGGGCTTAGAAAATTATCAAGCCATAGGTGAGTAGGCACAAATTTAAGGCTCAAATATGGATGAAACCTCAACATTTGCTCCAAGCAACTATGTTCTGCATTAACACTGGGGAGCAACCAACCAGAGCCGGGACAAGGATTGGTAAAACAATCTCTGAAAAGGTACTATGATGCACTCAGTTGACGCTGGCAGGCCTGCCCCAGTGTTCCTGTTCAGCATCTCTATCGTAGAGATGCTGGCTCGAGCGTACTATCCCATGGGGATGGGCCCAAGCAATGGCTGAGCAGTTGGCAGTGTGGACATCCAGCCCATTGCCTAGGGTGGACATGCTCGGAGGAGCACATCACTTACCTTTAGGGGCTTCCATGGATCAGGCAGGAGCTTTCCTTCTTCAGGGGTCTCTCCACCCTACCCAGCTTCTCTCGCTCCCTTACCAGTTCCACCTGGGGGTGGGTCTTTAAGTCACTGCACCTGTTTTTGTCTCCTGATTTGTTTCTAGAGTACTTAGATACCATCCCTGCCCTTACTTGTGTACAAAAGCAGCATTCTGATTTGTGACCATCCTGTGGAGTGGTCAGGTGAGCAAAAGGAGGGATCCGGGTGATGGTTAGTTGTGGAATCATCCACAGTGATAGACTTATTGAATCCCAGTTCACCAAACTTCAGGGCTCATGGGAATGCCTGTTTAGGTGTCACATTTAACACCTATCGGGCCACTGGCTCCATTTGGAAAACTGGCCAGGATCCTGTGAACCTGGAAGCTCCCTTCCTGCTTCTATACCTCACACAGCTGAACCCTGACTCATGCCTTCCACCTGAAGCCAGCTGCCTCCAAGGGAATAGCAATCCCTCCCCCAACTCCTGCTTTTGTTTCATGGACCATTATCTGAGTGATGGTGGTGACCAAAGTGATTTCAGGTTAAATGTTAGTTGGTTATGTCCATTTTAACACTTAGCATCCACCTGTACATCTGCACGAGAGGCCAGATCCAAGGCTACTGAGTTCTTCGGGGACCTACAAAAAATATACTTAACCTAAATAAAAGAGCTCTTGTCAGCAAGCCAAGAAAAAAATTACTAAATTGAAATAAAGGAATGTCTCATTAAATGTGTAATAAAACACAATGTCAGCATCATTCTCTTGGAATTTATAAAAGTGTTATTCATTTGTAAAACATTTGCAAATGTGATTAGAATTGATGGTTGTTTTGTTAATTGACAGGAGTCCTGTGCCAGTTTGGTCGTATACACCTGTAATCACAAGAGACACAACACAAACAGCAGAGGATAGCAAGTTCATGGCAAGTTTAGCAGTATGAACTGTCTCCAAAAAAGCATTAACAAGTGAGTGATTCCTAAGAAGTCATAAATACTTTCAACCCTTCCTAGTTAGAGACCCACCCAATACTTTCAAAAACAACACATTAAAACCTTTAAAAAATGTTGTCTGTCTTGATTAGAATTTGGATGGTCCTTTTTATGACATTGGAAGATATAATACATTTTTTAATCTTTTTCAACACACACTAAAGTTCTTCTGAGAATATTACAAGTTGGAACAATTTAATACAAATAGTTAAGTGGTAGAATTGTCACTATCACTTTAGATGAATTTTATTTACATCAAAACCAGAGCTCATAAAGAAACCAAGTTAAAATGGAAAGTTGATCTAATTTTATGAGATGAGCCTGATTTTGAAATATAACACATGTATTGC